TATGGAGAGAGCTAATATAAACACTATATATATATATATATATATATACAAATATAAATACAAATATAAATAAAAAATAAATAAATAAAAAAATAAAAAAATAAAATAAATAAACTTACTGCAGAGCATCAGCTTATACAAGAAAGAGAAAGCGAGACAGTTATTACAAACAAAAATAAAAAATAAATAAAAAAAATAAAAAAAAAATAAATAATAAATAAACCTACTGCAGAGCATCAGCGTGTATAAGAAAGAGAGACACGTAACATAAACATAAATACAAATATAAATAAAAAAAATAAAATAAAAAAAAAAAAATAAAAAAATAAATAAAAATAAATAAACTTACTGCAGAGCATCAGCGTATACAAGAAAGAGAAAGCGAGACAGTTCTTATAAACAAAAATAAAAAAAATAAAAAAATAAAAAAAAAATAAAAAAATAAAAATAAAAAAATAAAAAAAAATAAAAAAAAATAAACTTACTGCAGAGCATCAGCGTATACAAAAAAGAGAAAGAAAGTTAATATAAACATAAATACAAATAAAATAAATAAAAATAAAATAAAAAAATAAATAAAATAAAATAAAAAAATAAAAAAATAAAAAAATAAATAAACTTACTGCAGAGCATCAGCGTATACAAGAAAGCCAGTTAACATAAAAATAAATACAAATAAACAAAAATAAATAAAAATAAATAAAAAAATAAAAAAAAAATAAATAAAAAAATAAAAAAAAATAAAATAAAATAAACTTACTGNGAAAGCGAGACAGTTATTGTAAACAAAAATAAAAAAAAATAAAAAAATAAAAATAAAATAAAAAAATAAAAAAAAATAAATAAATAAAATAAAAAAATAAATAAACTTACTGCAGAGCATAAGAGTATACAAGAAAGCCAGTTAACATAAAAATAAATACAAATATAAACAAAAATAAAAAAAAATAAATAAAAAAATAAAAAAAAAATAAATAAAAAAATAAAAAAAAATAAAATAAAATAAACTTACTGCAGAGCATCAGCGTATACAAGAAAGCCAGTTAACATAAAAATAAATACAAATATAAACAAAAATAAATAAAATAAATAAAAAAATAAAAAAAAAATAAATAAAAAAATAAAAAAAAATAAAATAAAATAAACTTACTGCAGAGCATCAGCGTATACAGCGCGGAGGTTATATCCTTCGGCGTGACAAACAGAATACACAAAACCAGCACAACCAGGCTGCACACAAACCCTAAACCCTAAACCCTAAACAATAAACCCTAAACCCTAAACACTAAACCCTAAACCCTAAACAATAAACCCTAAACAATAAACCCTAAACAATAAACCCTAAACAATAAACCCTAAACAATAAACCCTTAATATTAAATAATAAATAATAAATAATAAACACAAAACCAGCACAACCAGGCTGCACACAAACCCTAAACCCTAAACCCTAAACCCTAAACCCTAAACCCTAAACCCTAAACCCTAAACAATAAACAATAAACCCTAAACAATAAACAATAAACCCTTAATAATATATAATAAATAATAAATAATAAACCAGCACAACCAGGCTGCACACAAACCCTAAACCCTAAACACTAAACCCTAAACACTAAACCCTAAACCCTAAACAATAAACCCTAAATAATAAACCCTAAACCCTAAACCCTAAACCCTAAATAATAGACGATAAACACAAAACCAGTACACCCAGGCTGCACGAACAAACAAACAATTTATTTATTTATTATATTTATTTATTTATTTATTTATTTATTTATTTATTTATTTATTTATTTATTTATAAACATACAAGCTGCTGCGCTCGTTGCTGCTCGTTAGCTAGCTCTCTAATAAACT